TTAAATACATAAACAATCATTTGCATCATTAAACCAACCTCTTTCTGCTTCCAAGGGTGCTAATCATGCTGAAACAGCTAGCCAACCTCCTCCATGCACATCTCTTAGCCAGTCTTTCCACACCACAAACAAATGACATGCATATACAATAAAAAACAAATTCAACCACATTGAGTAAACTTTCGTTCTTTTCTTTTTTTTTCCTTTTCATACCGCGCCCCCTGCAATGGCGCTGCACCCACCTCCCCCCCACCCCCTAGGGGGCGGGCCCCACACTTTGGGAAGCTCTGCCTTAGTAAATCCTGAGGAAGGAGAACTGAGAAAATGTTTTTCTTATGACTGTAACTGTGGCCTGTGTGAAAACACACTGATCAGATCATTGGCTGATGCTTTAAATCCAAACTGTGACAGGCATCATAGTTTTTTGGTGTTATGGTTTGTTTGTTTTTACATTCCAGGTGAAGAAGGGGTTTCAAACATTTCCTGTAGCTTCACACATCAACTCAAAGACTGTTTTTACACACTGAAATCTTCTGGTCTATGTCAACCACAGATTTATTTTAATCCCATTTCAATCCAATGAAAATATTTCAGTCCTCTGAGACAGAAAAAGATTATATATTTAAATATTGATAAATTAATTATGAATCTCCATAATTTGGCTCCAGCTTATATTTGAGGTATTTTATTTTTGTTTGTGTAATTATTTAATTGTTGAATTTTAGGGCAGTTGTGTGTATAATGTTAGATTGTGATAGTTACATTTCATGCCTCTCAAATCGCAAAAGTAAATTTTGTCCCCTTTACTGTTTCAGTCTTTAAGTACAAGCACAGACGACCAGTTTGGATTTGCATTAGTTAAAGAAGAAATTAATGAAGCTCTGCTGCAGAATGACCAACCAGCAGCTGCTGCAAAGATCAAAGAGTTAATGATGAAGGAGAAAAACATCACACTAAATATCGCCATCACAGGAGAATCTGGTTCTGGTAAATCCACCTTTGTTAATGCCTTCAGAGGACTGTCCGATGATGATAAGGGAGCTGCTCCTACTGGTGTTAAAGAAACCACCTCAGAGGTCACACCGTACCCCCATCCAAACTATCCCAATGTTACTTTATGGGATCTTCCTGGGATCGGCTCCACCAAGTTTCCAGCTGATAAATACCCGGAGCTTGTTGGATTTGAGAAGTTTGACTTCTTCATCATCATCTCAGCTGATCGCTTCAGAGAAAATGACATGAAACTCTCTCAGGAGATTCAGAGGATGAAGAAAAGGTTCTACTTTGTTCACTCAAAGATCGACGAAGACATACGAGCTGAGAAAAGAAAGAAAAACTTCAATAAAGAGAGGACTCTGACAAAGATCAAAGACGGCTGCGTTCAGAGTGAGTATTCAGTGATCATTTATCCCAGTGTGAGATTAATTTCTGGATGTGTTCTTTGAAAATATTTACTTTGTGGCTGTAAATGGAATAACCTTTATTTTCTACTGTGTGCATCATCGCATATTCAAAATAGAAAATTTACATGGTAATTTGATTATCAGTAATCACTGAGAGGAAGCTGTATGAACTTTAAACACCTGAAACATCACAAAGTTATTTAGATCTATTCTTCTAGAGCTGATTGTTCTGCAGCTGCTGGAGAGGTCAGGCTTTTATTAGACAGTTGAACTTTATTACCAGTGTTGGTCAAGTTACTTCAAAAAAAAAAGTAATCAGTAACTAATTCCCTCAAAAAGTAATCCCGTTACTTTACTGTTGAAAGATGATTTACAACCTGAATAGGTGATAAAGTGATAGATCTTTCAGCCCAATTCTACTTTTTCTACATATTTCCATCATACAAAATGTAATCAAATGGAAAAGTCTCTTTTTAAAACTTGTTTTATTAGTTTTAATCTTTTAACTTCATGCATCAAGCAAAAATTAAATTATATGCAACATTCTCTGACTGGAAGACATTAGTTTAAACCTATTATCTGCACATTCCAGCACATAAAATATTTTTGTGTTTACACTCAGTCTTTAAAATAGATGCAAGTAAAACACAGCAGAATAGAAATAAAGTCAAAGACTTTGATTTTATTTATTTCATTTTTGACTGACACGATAAAATCATCAATTCAATCAAATTAATTTAAGTGGAAACATTTTATGTATAAATATTAGTTTTCTGACTGAGTTTTTAGAGTTTCTTGTTTAAGAACAGCTGCCTGCTGCTGTTAATCACTCTCTAAGTAGATGTTTTGTTTGATATTGTTCAGACTCTCTGGGCTGCAGGTGAAATGTGGGCTACAGTTTCTCTTCATATTAATCTTCCATAAAAAGCACTCTAAGATTCAAAGCGTTTATTGTCATGTGTACCAAGAAAAAGCATTTCTCTGTGCAATGAAATTCTTTCTCTGCTGTCCACACACAGATGTCGGTTAATATGTACAATAGATAAAATACAAATAGCCTGAATAAATAAATGGAGGCAAAACAATTGAAGTATTAAATAGATTTATGTGCAAAGAGCTATGAGCTTGATATGCTGGTTTGATATGAGAGATGACCTGATGTGGAAAAATTATTATTACTATAAAAATGGGTCAGCTAACTCTAATAATAACTCTAATCATTCCCACGACAAACAGCAGCAGGTAGGATGCACGATTATTCTAAGGAAAGTTCTTTTACACATAAAATCATTTTAAAAACCCAAAACAATAATTGTAAATTAAATAAGTAATGCAGTGTATGTAACAAAAAAATATAATGCTTGGGCCTACACCAGTAAACTATAATCCTTTACAATTCTATAGAGTCAGAAGAGTTAATTAACCCACTGAATGGAAAAGCCTAGTTTTAGATGATTTATTGTTTCATACCACATCTTCACAACATGTGTTTCTTCTGTGCCAGGACTCAGAGGATTAGGCATCGAGTCTCCGCAGGTCTTCCTGGTGTCCAGCTTTGAGCTCCGCCTGTACGACTTCTCTCGCTTACATCAGACCTTAGACAGAGACCTTCCTGCACACAAGAGAGATGTTCTGCTGCGAGCCATGCCCAACATCAGCCCAGAGATCATCAGGAAGAAGAAACAAGCTCTGAAGTCCAAAGTAAAATACTGGGCTATTCTGTCTGCAGTTGGAGCAGCTGTTCCAGTTCCTGGACTTTCTATTGCTGTTGATGCTGTTTTGCTGGTTGGTGTTGTCACAGATTATGTTCATGTGTTTGGTCTCGATATCTGGTCTCTGAAGAGACTTTCTGTCATCACTTCACCACTGGTTACAGCAGAAATAAGTATACCGCTCCTCTTGAAAGTGATAGCCCAACTTGGGTCCATAGCTGCATTAATTGCAGCAGAGGAAACAACCAGATTTATTCCAATTATTGGAATTCCAGTATCAGCGGGTCTCTCTTTCACCACAACCTACAAAATTCTGAATTTGATCCTTGATCAGCTGGCTGAAGATGCTCAGAAGGTGTTTGAAAAGACTCAGGGTCTGAACACAGTGTGAATTTGAAAGTAAAATATAAATGAAACTTAAAAGAGTACAAATGAAATTAGTTTAAATCATTAAATATAAATATACTGAAACCAAATCATGTTGCAGCTGCACATTTGAGCCATTTTCCTACTATGGCTGATAAATGTATCAGAGGCCTCAGCAGGTCTCATTTCTTCTCATCACATCAATACAGGAACAAATGTGTTGTTATTATTCAGATAAAACCTGCTAGAAGAGCTTTGTTCTAATCCTTTGTCTGACTTGGTGATGTCATCACTTTTTACAGATCAGGTGATGTGATCGTTACTCCTGAAACATCATCGTCTGAATTTCTTTTGTTTGGTTTACTTTGTGATTAAACTTTTTTTTTGTTATCATATGGTAGTGTGGAGATTAGGAAAATATTTTACTGTTACTATTCATAACCATGATCATTACTATTGCATTAATCATCATTTCATCAAAGCATTTATTAATATTACATTAAAGTATGTATTTCAGGTGTTATCATAATCACATAATAATCTTTCATTGCAGGAGCAACTGTAATCATTTTATACACATTGCATTTTTGTGCTTATTAAAGAGTTGAAGCTCGGTCAGTTAATTGATGGTCAGAAGCTTCGTCCGGCCGATCTATTGAATAAAGTGGCCTAGAGCTATGGAACGATTGCATACATGCTTATAATACATATACACCACATGTAATCTGTTATTTTCATTATTATCTTTTATTCATTTATATTCTTTTTATTAAGCTTTGAGTAGTGGCATTTGATTAAAGCATTTATTCAATATATTACACATATAGCTATTCTGTCTGCAGCTGCAGCATGGGTTCCAGTTCCTGGACTTTCCATTTGTATGGACCTGTCCATGATGGTTAATGTAGCCATAAGTTATGTAGCTGGATTTGGGCTTAATAAGTCATCACTGCAGAGACTCTCTGCCAGCTCGGGTGTGCCTTACACTGAGCTGCTTAATGTCCTTAAATCACCACTGGCTACAGCAAAAATAACTGAAGATCTCCTCCTGAAGCTGTTGTCCCAAACGGCCAGCACAGTTGCACTCATGGCACTAGAGGAAGGATCCAGGTGGATTCCATTAATAGGAATCCCTCT